CAATCTGCACTATAGCCTGTCCACAGGATTAGTTTCATGTGACGGTCCATTTGTTCAGCTTCAGGCTTGATTATATGGAAATCCGTTGGGATTCCCCTTGTTAAGATTCACACCTGGTGTTTAATCTATTTCATCCAATCCACATTTTGCAATTTCCAACTTTTCAAATGCCCCTTGGCAACCACAATTGCGTCACGACTCATGGGCCAATCGCCATGCAGCCGCGATCGCGGTCCTATCACAGCGGTTCGGCGCAGAAAGGGACGCAAAGGGACACTTGACACAGAGCAGGGCAATTTATCGAAGGAAGTTTAGAAGGAAGTTTAGAAGTCAAACTTCCGACAATATGGACAGATGAAAAGCAGAGATGGGAAGAGGAGGCAGAGAGAAGAGAAGAGTAGAAGAGAGCAGATCAGAGAAGAGAAAGAGTCAAAAGAAAGAAGATGCAGATGCGCGAAAAGGTAGGAAAGTCGCGATGCACTGTGTTTTTCCAATGATTTGTGGCGCCGGAGGGTCGAAAAGTAGGCTCGCTAAAGCGGCGGGTGCGGAGCCATCTGGCCAGATGAGAGATGAAAAATTGCACGCCGTTGTGGCGCGAAGCACATGTCCAAGTCAAAATGTACAAAACACACCATTGTCGGACAACTTTTGCACTTGAGATGTCGAAAAAGTGCACGCCCGTTGGCGCGAAGCACATCTCGAAGTCAAAATGTACAAAGCACACCAGCTTCGGACCACTTTTGGAAGTTGCGACGTCGAAAAAGTGCACGCCGTTGTGGCGCGAACCACATTTCGAAGTCAAAATGTACAAAACACACCACGTACGGACCACTTTTGGACGTTCAGAGCTCGTTTCGCATGGCAGGCGCAGGGATTGTGCACCTTCTCAAAGGTGAGCAAAACGTGAGGGGTTTTTGTAGCATTGCCAAAAACGATGGCAGGCGTGGGATATGTGAAGAGGATCTGCAAAGATTTATTTTCCGTGGCAGGCGCAGTACAAGAGACATTTTCATCGGAGCTGTTCGGAGGTCAGGGCGCTGATTTCCTGAGAGGGGTTGCATTTTGGAGCATCAGATCTTCAGGTTTGCTGAGATGATTTCGCGTGACAGGCGCAGCACTTCGTACGACCTGGCATCACTTTTTCGTGGCAGGCGCAATAGTTTAGACAGATGGATTGGAAAAATCACAAAACGCATTGGCAGGAGGCCGTCAGCTCCGCAGTCAACTTTCCATTTTTGAAGGAAGTCTCGCAGAATTGCTTCGTTTTTGACGTTGTTAAGTTCAAAAAAGGAAGTCTGGCAGAATTGCTTCGTTTTTGATGTGGTCAACTTCAAAAAATGAGGATGTCTCGCAGAATGATGTGGTCAGCTTCAAAAAATGAGGAAGTCTCGCAGAAGTGCTGCGATTTTGATGTTGTCAACTTGGAAAAATGAAGAAGTCTCGTAGAATAGCCAGGTTTTCAAGCTTGCAGGTAGACAGGTAGACAGACAGACAGACAGACCGAGAGATAGATAGATAGATAGATAGATCGATAGATCGATAGATCGATAGATCGATAGATCGATAGATCGATAGGTCGATAGGTCGATAGATCGATAGATCGATGAATAGATAGATAGATAGATAGATAGATAGATAGATTGATGGATAGATAGATACCTAGCTAGCTAGCTAGATAGGTAGATAGGTAGATAGGTAGATAGGTAGATAGGTAGATACAGAGTTAGATAGATGGATGGATGGATGGATAGATAGATAGATAGATAGATTAGATAGATTAGATAGATTAGATAGATTAGATAGATTAGATAGATTAGATAGATTAGATAGATTAGATAGATTAGATAGATTAGATAGATTAGATAGATAGATAGATAGATGGATAGATAGATAGATAGACAGATAGATAGATAGATAGATAGATTAGATAGATTAGATAGATTAGATAGATTAGATAGATTAGATAGATTAGATAGATTAGATTTATTAGATTTATTAGATTTATTAGATTTATTAGATAGATTAGATTTATTAGATTTATTAGATAGATTAGATAGATTAGATAGATTAGATAGATTAGATAGATTAGATGGATTAGATGGATTAGATGGATTAGATGGATTAGATGGATAGATGGATAGATGGATAGATGGATAGATGGATAGATGGATAGATGGATAGATGGATAGATAGATAGATAGATTAGTAGATTAGATAGATAGATTAGATTAGATAAGAAAAGATAAGATAGATAAGATAAGATAAGATAAGATAGATAGATAGATAGATCAGATAGATAGATAGATAGATAGATAGATAGATAGATTAGATAGATTAGATAGATTAGATAGATTAGATAGATTAGATAGATTAGATAGATTAGATAGATTAGATAGATTAGATAGATAGACAGATAGATAGATAGATAGAAAGGTAGGTAGATAGATAGATAGATTAGATAGATTAGATAGATTAGATAGATCAGATAGATCAGATAGATTAGACAGATTAGACAGATAGATAGATAGATAGACAGCGAGAGACAGAGAGAGACAGATAGATAGATAGATAGATAGATAGATACATAGATAGATAGATAGACAGACAGATAGATAGATAGATAGATTAGATAGATTAGATTAGATTAGATAGATTAGATAGATTAGATAGATTAGAAAAATTAGATAGATTAGATAGGTTAGATAGGTTAGATAGGTTAGATAGGTTAGATAGGTTAGATAGATAGCTAGCTAGCTAGCTAGATAGGTAGATAGGTAGATAGGTAGATACAGAGTTAGATTGACAGATGAGATAGATAGATAGATGGATGGATAAATAGATAGATAGATTAGATAGATTAGATAGATTAGATAGATTAGATAGATAGATAGATCAATAGAATAGACAGGCAGACAGACAGACAGACAGGCAGACAGACAGACAGATAGATAGATAGATAGACATCTAGATAGATCGATAGATAGACAGATGGATAGACAGATAGATAGATAGATAGATAGACAGATAGACAGATAGATAGAGAGAGAGAGAGAGCTAGATAGATAGATAGATAGATAGATGGATGCATGGATAGATAGATAGATAGATAGAATGCATGGATGGATGGATGGATGGGTGGATGGACGGAGAGATTAGATTGATTAGATAGATAGACAGATAGAGAGAGAGCTAGCTAGCTAGCTAGATAGATAGATAGATAGGTAGATAGAAAGATAGATAGAATGATAGAATGATAGAATGGATGGATGGATGGGTGGATGGATAGATAGATAGAAAGATAGATAGATCGGTAGGTAGGTAGGTAAATAATCAGAGAGAGAGAAAAAGAGAGAGAGAGAGAGAAAGGGAGACATCAATCACCTTTCGATCCATCAGTGGCTTTGCTCTGCCATCAATGATTCACAACAACCAATCTGTCCTATAGGTTTCCATTTTTTGAAACTTCCGCCACCGCCTTGTGCGGTACTACTGGTAGCATTCTACAGAGGTCTACCCGGATCTATGTAGTTTACAAAATTTACAAACAGTTTGCAGTTTCAAAGCCGTTCAAAGCCTGCATTCTTAATGTCTTGGTTCTTGGAGTTTAAGAAATGTACATGGTCTTTTTTTACTTCTAACATGTGTGTTGCATAGTCTTGCTTTGGTCAATCAGGCCATTTGGATGCACAGTTCTGATATAAAGGCAAGCAACTTGATTTGGCCGTATGGAATGAGCACAGGTTCGTGGCTACATGCAGCTATTATGTGATGTTTCTGCTTTTGTGCTCCCATTCACTTCCACCGGCAAGAAACCCCAAACAGTGTCGGGGGTAGGAAGTCAATGTACCAGACACAAGCAACAGTAGCTGTGGAACAGTAACAGATGAGGTTAGACATGATCGCAACGGCAGCAGCAGGACTTTCTATGCAGATCTATGTAGAAGATTTCACAAGATCTTCAGACAAGAACTTCCTAGGAAAATCCCAGAAGAAATTGCAGAAGCACCAACGCAGAGCATCTTCAAGATCTTAGTGCAAGGACCTTCTTTGAGGAAGATTTCAACAGGATATCCACAAGAGCTTCTCACAAGGACCTGTACCAGATCATGTAAGGACACCGAGAGGGTTTCACTAGGACTTCTTCCTTCGAGAGCGTCTAGTAAGGACCTGTACAAGATCACGCAAACGCCTCTGACAGCATGGCGCTACAGGATCGCCACAAGATCTTGTCACAAAGAGTTGTAAAAGACTTTGGCCGAGATCTTCATGCCAGGACTCTTGAAAGAATGTTACAAGATCGTCAGAAAAGGATTTGCTGCTGCTGGAGAGGATCGAACAAGATCTTGATACAAGAATTTCCCAAGGAGTCTCATAAGAGCTATCATAAAAGCACCTCTAAGACATGGCACCTGCAAGATTTTCATGCCAGGACCTGCCAGGATCTCCACAATCCACAAGATCGTCTGACAAGGACTCGGACAAGATCACGCAAGGACCAAGGCCGGGACAACCATTTTGTGTGAGCCTGCGCGGCCGACATGCACATGGACATCTGAGAAGAGCCATTTTATGCGAGAGTTTTCAGGTAAAATGTCGCAGGCCAAGACCGGGACAACCGTTTTGTGTAAGCCTGCGCACTTGAAACCCACATGGGGAAGAACCATTTTATACAAGAATTTATAGGAAAAATGCCGCGCCCCAAGACCGGGACAACCATTTTGTGCAAGCCTACTCAGTCGAAACGCACATGGAAATGTCACAAGAACCATTTGTCCCCGAACAGTGTACTGTTAGGGGTTCTTTCTGCTTTCTTAAGGTGTCCACCTTGGTGTTGGATGGTGTATCCGCCCTCCCGAGGTCTTGTCTCCCCTTGTCCCCCATTGTCCCCCCAGCTTCTTGTTTCCCTTTGTTGGGTGGTGAGTCCACCTTCCCGAGGCCTTGTCTCCCTTGTCTCCCTGTCTCCCAGCTTGTCTCCCAGCTTGCTTGTCTCTCCGCTTGTCTCAGCTTGTCTTCCTTCTTGTGGCCATCTGTTGTTGGACGGCTTGTCCGCATTCCCGAGGCCTTGTCTCCCTTGTCTCCCTGTCTCCCAGCTTGCTTGTCTCTCCGCTTGTCTCAGCTTGTCTTCCTTCTTGTGGCCATCTGTTGTTGGACGGCTTGTCCGCATTCCCGAGGCCTTGTCTCCCTTGTCTCCCTTGCCTCCCTGTCTCCCAGCTATTGTCTCCCAGCTTGCCTCCCAGCTTGTCTCCGCTTGTCTCCCCGCTTGTCCCCCCCTTGTTTCCCAGCTTGTCTTTCTTCTTGTTTCCCTTTGTTCGATGGTGCGTCCGCCTTCCCGAGACTTTCTTTTCCTTGCTTCCCAGCTTGTCTCCCTTCTTGATTCCCTTTGTTGGATGGTGTGTCCGCGCTTCCCGAGGCCTTGTCTCCCTTGTCTCCAAAGCCTGTCTCCAAAGCTTGTCTCCAAATCTTGTCTCCCAACGTGTCTCCCTTCTTGCTTCCCCTCTTGTTTCACTCTGTTGGATGGTGTGCCCGCCGGCCTTGTCCCCTTGTCTCCCAGCTTGTCTTTCGTCTTGTTTCGCTTTGTTGGACGGCGCGTCCACCTTCCGAAGCCTTGTCTCCTTTGTCTTCCAGCGTGTCTCCGCTTGTCTCCCAGCTTGTCTCCAGCCTGTCTTCCTTCTTGCTTCCGTTTGTTTTATGGTGTGTCCACCTTCCCGGCCTTGTCGCCCTTGTCTCCCAGCTTGCCTTCCTTCTTGTTTCCCTCTGTTGGACGGTGCGTCCGCCTGCCCGAGGCTTGCGCCCGTTGTCTCCCAGCTTGTCTTCCTTCTTGCTTCCCTCTGTTGGATGGTGTGTCCGCCTTCCCGAGGCCTTGTCTCCCAGCTTGACTCCCAGCTTGTCCCCCCGCTTGTCTCAGCTTGTCTCCCAGCTTGTCTGCCTTCTTGTTGTTGGATGGTGTGTTAGCCTTGCCGAGGCCTTGTCTCCCTTGTCTCCCTTGTCTCCCTGTCTCCCAGCTTTTGTCTCCCAGTTCCCCGCTTGTCTCCCAGCTTGTCTCTCAGCTTGTCTCCCAGCTGGTCTTCCTTCTTGTTGCCTTCGCTCATCCTTGAGCCCGGCAAGGCTCTGGCGTCACTTGTCACAAAGGTCGGTTTGAAGTTTCTCCCATGCTATCTTTCCCACGCACACCAAAGCAAGTTAAGGCGACAGCACAGCGTCCAACCAGGTTGTGCAGGAGCGCGATAGCTCTGCTGCCTGTCTGAAGAAAGAGCGCCGTATAACAGCGCTCAAGCACCAAAGCATGCCACCCTGTTCCGCTTTTGGTTCAATGGCCTTATCTGTGTATATTGGGCCAAGATCTATATATGATATAAAAGGGAACGATAGGTTTATATCCATGGGTAATATAAATTTGATTTGACCAATTAAAAACGTATATTTTTTAACTTAAAAAAAATAGTGGTTTTATTTATATTATATTAAATTAATTATTTATATAATTTTAAATTTTAAACAAAAATAATATATAAATATAATTATAAAGATATAATTGATATATTAATAAAGTGATAATTATTGTAAAAAAAATATTATAATTGTAAAAATTAGAAATAAATAAATATTATAAATTATAAAAATATAATTGAAATACATTTTTAATATTATTGATATATTATTAATATATATGTAATATAATATTTAAAAAATAAAATATTATTAAAATACTAGAGAGTATCCGGTATAAAAAAGAAAGAAAATGGAGGTGAATTTTCGAAGTATTAAATTACGGGAAAATCTCGCGGTTGAGTTAAAATCCCGTAGTGCCAATATGCCAGAAAATTTATAAATCTCGGAAATTCCGAAATATTTAAATTTCCGTAAAAATTAGAGGTTTCGTCCGAAAATTCCGGCCAATTTACCTGTTTATAATATAATTATATAATTAAAGGAAATTTAGAAAGTAAATTTCCGACAATATAAACAAATAAAAAGCAGAGTAGGTGAGAGGTAGAAAGAAGTGTTGTGGTGTAAAAAATATTTCTAAATTAAAATTTAAAAAATACACCATTTTCGGATTATTTTTAAAAATTAAGATGTCGAAAAAAAACATATTTCCAATATAAATATACAAAACATCTCGATATCAGACAATTTTTAGAAATTAAAATGTTAAAATCACCATATCATATATTTACGCCACTTTTGGAGGTCGAGATATCGAAAAAATACATGCCGTTATGGCGCGAAACACATGTTAAAGTTAAAATATTAAAACCACCAAGATTCGGACCACTTTTGGAGCTTAGTTCAAATCTCGTTTTACTTTATTTCACTACAATACACTACATTACACTATACTCCACTACATTACACTACGCTCCACAACACCTATAACTACACAACTACACTCCACTACACTCCACTACATTCCACTACATTAAATTACAGTACACTACACTACATTACACTACAATACACTACCTTCCACTACACTTCACTACATTACACTACACTCCGCTACATTACAACTACAACTACACTCACTCCATACACTCCACTACACTAAAACACACTACACTACATTACACTACATCCACTACATTACACTACACTACACTACACTACAACTACAACTACACAACTACACTACACTCCACTACACTAAATTACACTACACTACGCTACTTTACACTACACTACACTACCTTCCACTACACTTCACTACATTACACTACACTTCAATACACTCCACTACACTACAACTACAGCTACAACTGCAGAACTACACTCCACTACATTTACTACACTACACTACACTACCTTCCACTACACTTCACTACATTACACTACCTTCCACTACACTTCACTACATTACACTACACTACACTCCACTACACTACAACTACACCTACGACTACACAACTACACTCCACTACACGAAATTTCACTACACTACACTACATTACACTACACTACACTACATCCCACTACACTATACTACATTACATACACTACACTACATTTCACTGAATGACGCTGCACCACAGATAGACAGGTAGACAGATAGACAGATAGATAGATAGACAGATAGACAGGTAGACAACTAGACAGATAGACAGATGAAAGAGAGAGAGAGAGATAGAGAGATAGATAGATAGATAGATAGATAGAAGATAGATAGACAGACAGACAGACAGATAGATAGATAGGTAATTAGATGAAAGAGAGAGAGAGATAGATTGATTGATAGATAGATAGATAGATAGAAGATAGATAGACAGACAGACAGATAGATAGATAGATAGGTAATTAGATGAAAGAGAGAGAGAGAGAGATAGATTGATAGATAGATCGATAGATAGATAGATAGATAGGTAATTAGATGAGAGAGAGAGAGATAGATAGATAGATAGATACATAGAAAATAGATAGGTAGGTAGGTAGATAGTGAGAGAAAGAGAGAGAAAGAGAGGAGACCGCAAGCACCTTTCGGTCCATCAGTGGATTCGCTCTGCCATCCCGGATTCACAATAACTAATCTCTCCTATAGGTTTCTTATTTTTGAAACTTCCGCCACCTCCTTGTGCGGTACTTCTGGTATATTGCATCAATTCCGGCTATAAATACGTGGTTTCCGACCGGAGCGCCCATTTTTTCGACAAGCATCCCGTTGTCCTAAAATTCGGGTACCCCTAAATCAGGCATTGCGATGCGAGTTGTTCTGCCAAAAGTCGCGGTTAAGTCGACCTCCCGAAGCACCAATTTTCGGGAAAATTTCGCGGTTCAGTTAAAATCCCGAAGCACCAATTTTCCGGAAAATTTGCCACTTTAGGAAATTCCTAAATTACCAAATTTCCGTGAAAATTCGGGGTTTCGTCCGAAATTTCCGGAAAATTTGGGACTTTTGGCATAATTATATGATGTATTGGATCAATTCCGGGTACAAGTGTCGGGTTTCCGACAGGGGCGCCCACTTTTTCGACAGGCGTCCCGTTTTATGTAATAATATTTTTTTTTTTAATATTAAGATGTTGTGATTTGTTGCGTAACGAATAATTGAAAATCTCGCGATATTTGTTGGCGAATAAAAAATAGTAATTGTTATTTTTTGTATTTTTATTAATTAATTTTGGGATTAAATTTAATGATATTTATTTATTTTAATATATTGGAATTTTTTTTATATATTTTTATAATATATTAAAAATATTAATTATTTTAAATATTAATTTTAAAAAGATATATTAATTATTTATTAAAAATATATAATAAAAATATTATTAATTTTTAATGATTAAGATTTTGATGATTATTTTATTGAAGGAAATTAAATTTTCGATAGATGAAAAGTAGAGATGGGAAGAGTTAGAGAAAAGAGAAGAATAAAAAGAAAATTAGAGAAGAGGAAAAATTAGGAAAAAGAAGATGAAGGTATGCGAACAGGTAGGAAAGTCGCGAAATATTTTGTTTTTTTAATGATTTATGGCTCCGGAGGGTCGAAAAGTAGACTTACCAAAGTGGTGGGTGCGGAGCTAGCTGGCTAGAGGAGCGATGAAAGATACAAAACATATTAGGTGCGGACTACTTTTGGCACTTGAGATGTCGAAAAAATACACACCGTTTGTGGTACGAAATACATTTCTAAATTAAAATATATAAAATATATTACTTCCGGACTACTTTTGGAAGTTGAGATGTTATTGAAAAAGTACACGCTGCTGTGGCGCGAAATACATTTCTAGATTAAAATAATAAAAACCCTCGGGGTTCGGACCATTTTTGGAGGTTTAGATGTCGAAAAAATACATACTATTGTATCGTGAAATATATTTTGAAATCAAAATATTAAAAACATCAGGGAGTCGGATTACTTTTGGAGATTAGATGTCGTTTCGTGAGATAGACGCAAGGGATTTTCTACCTTGTTTTAAAAAAGTAAAATGTAAGGGTTTTGAAGCATTTTTAATTATAACCAAAACTCTACCATACTATATTCCAATATACTACACTACAACAACTACAACTAGACCTTCACTATATTCTAGTGCACTGCACTCCACGACACTACACTGCACTCAATTAGACTCAATTACACTACAATACATTATACTACACTACGCTACCTTCCACTACACTCCACTACACTAAATTACACTCCACTATACAATTACATTCCGACCTCTCCTATAGGTTTCCTATTTTTGAAATTTCCGCCACCGCCTTATACGGTACTACTGATAAATTTAAAATTTATAATATAAATTATTTTTTAAAAAAATAATTAATTTATTTAATTTTTTTTAACTATTGATATTACTCGATTCTTTAAAAAAATTATTTAAAGGTCAAATTTCGAATAATATCAAGATTTGAAAAAGCAGAAGTAGGAAAAATAAAAAAAAATAATTAAATAATGGATGATCTGAAAATATAGAAAAAATAATATAATTTTATTTTATTTTAATATTTATTAAAGGAAATTGGGAAGCAATATTTCGGTGTTACGGATAAATAAAATTCTGAGACTTGAAATAATAAAGGGTGACGCGACTGAGACTTGACCTTGATAAAGGGTGGTCTGAAATTTTACATTACATAACAATACATCACAAAAAAATTAACCTTGATAAAGGGTGGTATGAGACTTTACATTACATAATAATACATCACAAAAAAAATTGACCTTCATGAAGGGTGGTGTGAGACTTTACATTACATAACAATACATCACAAAAGACTTGACCTTGATGAAGGGTGGTCTGAAACTTTACATTACATAACAATACATCACAAAAAAAATTAACCTTCATGAAGGGTGGTGTGAGACTTTACATTACATACATCACAAAAGACTTGACCTTGATGAAGGGTGGTCTGAAACTTTACATTACATAACAATATATCATAAAAGATTTGACCTTGATGAAGGGTGGTCTGAGACTTTACATTACATAACAATACATCACAAAAAACTTGACCTTGATAAAGGGTGGTGTGAGACTTTACACTTTATAACAATACATCACAAAAGACTTGACCTTGATGAAGGGTGATCTGAGACTTTACATTACATAACAATACATTACAAAAGACTTGACCTTGATGAAGGGTGGTGTGAGACTTTACACTTTATATTAATACATCACAAAAGGATTGACCTTGATGAAGGGTGGTGTGAGACTTTACATTACATAACAATAAATCACACAAGGATTGACCTTGATGAAGGGTGGTGTGAGACTTTACATTACATAACAAAACATCACAAAAGACTTGACCTTGATGAAGGGTGGTGTGAGACT